TTTTTTGTCAAGGAACTTGGGAAGTATTTGATCCTGAGATCTTCATTATTGGCTATATCTCCCGCTTCGGTTAGATATCTCGCTATGTGTTCGACTGTTGACTCATTGGTATCCCCAGCGAACTTTGTAAATTTAGGGACTTTATATCCCCTTGGTAAATCAGTATGCATTATACAATCCAATATAGGAGAAGCGTAATTTGGCCTCCTTATTCCTGTGTTGAGGCCATTCTGGGCCATGATCCTCTCTATCATGGTGGTTAGGTTATTTTCTGCCAAGATGTTATCGTTTCGAATCCTATGAACGACGGCATCGGCATCTTGATTTCGACCAACCAAAACAACTCCCCTAGGTTGTTCTTCTCGAAATTCTGGGGCTTCTGGCCTTTCGATCCTTGCCCCTGGTTCCATAACTTCCCTTTGTGGACCCGGGATTATTGGGGCTTCTAACCTTGGTGCTCTGGCCCCTAAGTTAACTTCTTCTCTGGGTGGTCTATGAATTGGGTCGTTAGCAATTTGTTCTATAACAGGCATGTTTGTTCGAAATCCCGCCTGGTTCTGCCTACGCCTTTCTGTGGGAGCAAAGAAATCTGCTATTCGACTCATATTGTCAGCGTTTTCCCTGTTCGTCACAGTCACATTCTGAACTATTGGGGCAAATATTTCCTGCATGGTTTGCGCTAATACCCCTATCATATTGTGGTTGCTGTCATCCATCAATTTCCTAAAAGCCAACTGGTTATCTGTGGTTAGGATAGGCAACGTGCTATAACCCACTGACCCTTGGTTATTTGTCATAAACTGATTCGCCCCAGACCCAGATCCTAGTTGTGGAGATGAATTCGATGTGGAATTGTGTAAACCTGCCATAAAAGATGTTGGCATTCCGTAAGAAGAACTTCTAATTCTATTCCCATCGAAGCCGGGTGGTCTAGTTAATGGTGTGGCGAAATGGGATTGTGTCCCTGATGGTGGAACGAATCCCCCAGGGTAGCCCATGGTTCCAGTATTTCCTAAGATCGAACTATTAGTTGATATGCCACTTATTCCATTGGTGGCTATGTTACTGGTTGAAGATGCAACAGACTGTGCATTCGAAGGGATTACATTAGATGTTCCGCTCGAAAGGGACGCGTTAGTGCCTGTTGCATGTGGGCCACCTTGGTCTCCTTGTTGATTGTCTGAATTAGACATTTTGTCCAAACGTTTTCTTCTGGATAAAGGTTGGTTGCTGTTGCTTATCTTACCACTTCTCAGGTTCATAAAACAGCAAACTTCTTAGGTTCCTACGTTTTTGTAATGGCTACGTCTCGACAATCCTTAATTCTGATATCCAACTATTGGTCCCACCGGGTGTGCCAATTTGTTTCCAGTGATTTCTGGTAAACAACCGCTAGTCTTCCAAACTATCGAATAATCTTTCTTACTGTTATTCAATCTCTCTGGTAACTCACAGGATCGACTAGATTGATCCTAGGACTCCTTGGATATTAAGGTTACTCTCACAATCGAACAATTATTCATGGTTGATATTGTATAAGTGTTTGGCTTACTTCGATCTCTCTCTACGAGTCTAAAAATGTAGTCAAAATGTATATGAAAACTAAGTTATACGAATAAATGCTAATTGTAATGCTGATTGTAGAGACATATAAAACTGCATGAAAAATGAAGTAAATGGTTTCGACTTACAAGACGTTTAACATAAAAGGTTTCTGGAATGTAGAAGTTTAAAATATGCAAAAAACGTTTAATGCAAGAAATCTGTAAATGATTTTAAGTAAAAGTATGCGCTTGAAGAACAATACTTGAAAGTAAAGGTATGGGAAATGTGACAGTTCTCTGAAATATAAAGTGCTCGAAATATAAAGAAAACAGTAAAACGTAAAACTTTGAGGAAAAGACTTCGAAGTGACAAGACTGTAAATAAGAAAACTTGTAAATGTTGCCTGACAAAAAGAATAGAGGAAAGTACTGGAAATGGTAAAAGGTTTTCATTAAGTTAGAAATACATGGTGCTATCATACATACATTTCTCTTGCATTCGTTTCCCTTGCCATGTGGTAGTTTAAATGTTATTGAGTATTTTGTATAACAGATATGACACACCGAAATCCTAATACTAAGACTTCTATTTATACTAATTCGACCCTAACGGTCTCGCTATAGGATTATGCCACGTTTCGAACATGCAGGACAATGCTTCCTTCATCTTTCCACGTGTCCCCAAATGCTCCAACACATAACTTTCAAACTTTGAAAGTCCCACTCCCATTTGAATTTTGAATGCTTTGGTGTTTCTCCGTTTCGAAGTCTTTTCCTCAAAGTTTTACGTTTTACTGTTTTCTTTATATTTCGAGCACTTTATATTTCAGAGAACTGTCACATTTCCCATACCTTTACTTTCAAGTATTGTTCTTCAAGCGCATACTTTTACTTAAAATCATTTACAGATTTCTTGCATTAAACGCTTTTTGCATATTTTAAACTTCTACATTCCAGAAACCTTTTATGTTAAACGTCTTGTAAGTCGAAACCATTTACTTCATTTTTCATGCAGTTTTATATGTCTCTACAATCAGCATTACAATTAGCATTTATTCGTATAACTTAGTTTTCATATACATTTTGACTACATTTTTAGACTCGTAGAGAGAGATCGAAGTAAGCCAAACACTTATACAATATCAACCATGAATAATTGTTCGATTGTGAGAGTAACCTTAATATCCAAGGAGTCCTAGGATCAATCTAGTCGATCCTGTGAGTTACCAGAGAGATTGAATAACAGTAAGAAAGATTATTCGATAGTTTGGAAGACTAGCGGTTGTTTACCAGAAATCACTGGAAACACCATGTGCATGCTAAAATTGGATATCAAGAAAGCTTATGATAGCGTGAATTGGAATGCGTTAGAAGACATCATGTCTGAACTTGGTTTCCCTAACAGATTCATCCACTGGATAATGTTAATTGTTAAATCTGTCCCCTACAAGTACAAGGTAAATAATATTCTTACTGATCATCTTCTTGCTAAGAGGGGTCTCAGGCAAGGAGACCCCTTGTCACCTATGTTGTATGTTTTGATCATGGAGTACCTGCACAGATTAATTAAGAAAATGGGTTGCAGCTAGGAGTTCAAATTTCACTCTAAATGTGAGAAGGTGCAAATCATTGAGTCAGGCTTTGCTGATGATCTTCTAATTTTCACTAGGGGTGAGACTGATATTGTCCAGCAGGCTTTTAATGTAATCAAGGAGTTTGGTGCTTCCACAGGGCTAAAAGTCAACCCAGGTAAGTGCAACATTTGTTTTGACAATGTGGAGGATATGGTGAAATAGCAGATCCTTATGGCAACTAAGTTTGAGGAAGGTGCCCTCCCTTTCAAATACTTAGGTGTTCCTCTGGCTAGCAAGAGGATTACTCATGATAACTGCTTGATTCTTATTGATAGAGTGGTGCAAAGGATTAGACATTGGAGCTCGAGAGTGCTTAGTTTTGCAGGTAGAACCCAACTGATCCAAAGTATTCTTTTTGCTATGAGTAACTTCTGGTTGTACTGCTTGCCTCTCCCAAGACAAACTATCAAGAGTATTGAGGCAATTTGCCGTACGTTTATGTGGGCAGGTTCTGAGATTGTGTCCCGTAAATCTCCCGTTGCTTGGGAAAAGGTGTGTGCCCAAAGGCTAAAGGAGGTTTGAACATTATGGCTTTGAAAATATGGAGCAAAGCTTGTCTTGCTAGGTATGTCTAGAACCTAAATGGAAAAGCGGATAGTTTGTGGATTAGGTGGGTCCACAACTATTACCTCAAGAACAATGATATCATGCACGTTTCTGTGAGAAGTTCGGACTCGTGGATCTTTAAGAAGCTTCTTAAAGTCAAAGAGGAAATTATTCATATGCAGGAATGGTCGTCTACGCTGAATAATGCTAAATACACGACAAAAGTGATATATATAGTGTTCTTTGTGCAACAAGAAGATGTCCCCTGGAAGTCTGTTATATATGGTAATGTAGCCAGGAGGAAATTTGTTCATACACTTTGGATGGCTTGTCACGGGAAATTTCGTACTAGAGAAAGGTTGCATAGGTTTGACATGTTAAATACGAATACCTACTGCCTCTGTAAGGGAATTGAAACAGTTGACCACCTGTTTTTCAATTGGCCTGCCACTAGATGCATTTGGGAGAGAGTTATTAATTGGATTGAGATTGATCACATGCCTAAAAAATGGTCTGAGGAGATTGTTTGGTTGATTGGGATTTGCAAGAAGAAGGCTTCAAAAGCAAAAGTGATCCAATGTGCTCTGACAGAGACTATGTTCGAGGTTTAGAAATATCGTAACCAAGTGTGCTTTGTAGCCAAGAGTAGCCAACAAGCTACTATTGCTAGTATCATTGATTCCATTATGTATCGATATTGGGATAAGCTTAAGCTTAGAGCTCGCGTTAGTAGGCTCCTAATGCCTTAGTTTGTTGGTTTTGTTGTCCTTTCTGAATTGTTGGACCTTTGAGGTCACTTTGTACCTAGTCGTTTTTTGATTCAATAAAATATTCTTTATTTCAAAAATAATAATACTAATACTAATAATAATAATAATATAAAATGTCTAAAGGCTAAAACATATAAAATAATCTATTTATTTCTCATTTTCTTCTAAATCTTTAATATAATACTTATGAAAAATTATGTATTGACGACCTAAAATATTTCATGCCTACATTGTAAAACAATTAAACTCATCTCAAAAATCGGAGATGGCTACATTAGAAATATAGTATATATGTTAGGAGCTATTGATAATATAAGGGGGTGTAAGGAGAAATTTAGAATTTGAGAGTATTTTTAATGGGCTGGAAGAATGTTACACGATATTGTATGGGCCTGAACAAAACGAGGCCCATTTAAAAGATTAATTCGAATATTCAATATATAAATTGAAAAAAATAGCCAAAGTGCGCAAAACGGTTATTTCCCTCGGAAGCAAGATTGAAATCAATGGCGGGTTCAGAATCAGCACCACCACCACAAGCAGAACCAGAAATCGAAAATCAACTCTCTTCTCTCATCTACGGTGCGCTTCAACAACTCGAAATCGAAGCGATTAATTACTCTAATTGCTTATTCGAATCATACGCAATGCAATCTTTGATTCAGATCTAACAATGCACGATTTGATTAATCATTGAATTTCCTCTTTAACGATTATGCTTAATCGCACAGAGATATCGAATGAAGCTCAAGGAATAATGGAGAACATGCTTAAGATGACCGCGTTAGTTACCTAATCATCACTGTTTATTCAATTTCTAGATAATTACTATTTATTTGTAATGTGATTATTTTGTGATTTCAGATCTAACAGTTTTTTGTACTAATTTTGCAGCGAGATTAATCAAAATTCTGTAACTATAGATGAAGAGATAGAGAAATGTAAAGGTTCTGCTATCGAGAGGAAAACTGCTTTAGATGAAGAGAAAAATCACTTTCAGAAAGCTGCTTATGCTGTTCTCGACATGCTTAACTGAGATTAAAAGTCTCCTAGGGTATTATTCGATCTTTTTCCGTTTTAATCTATGGGAATTTATTTACATATGTTTCGAAATTCGATGTGTGTTGTTCTTAGTTTTATACATTGCAATCTTATCTGTTTAGATAAGATGATTATCATTGACGCTATTTGATGCTATGATTAGAGGATGTATAACTCGTCATTCTCTCTTAAGGCGCTTAGATCTTCTACTTCTGAGCCATCGGTCATAAGAATTTTGCTCCCTCTTTTTCCAAACTTGTTCTCTGTGTACACAAACAATGAATCAATTTAGTCAAAATTTTATTGTAATTTGTTGTTGCTGTTGCATGAATAAGTTAAATGCTATGAATGTAGGAATAAAATCGTAATGTTATGTGCAATTGATTTTTATTATGAAGAACTGTGCATGGAATAAAGTCAATGAAGGGGATCATTGCCTTTTTCCTGTCTATTTTTATTTTTGGATTAGATTTTAGTTATGTATTATTATTTTTTCAATATTATTCAACTGTGAAACCACTCAGACTATTTTCGAGCCATGCAATGCATTTTGAATGTAGCTAGTTATACTCATACCTGCTACTCTGAAAAGATCTTCAACTGAATCTGGTAGAATAATGAGCTTTGGTGTTGTTCCAATTTCATTTTTTCCATTGGGGTGGTGTCCGTGGATTTTGACTCTAATGGGAACTAGGCTTGACAATGGACTGGAATTTTCTGTTTCTCCTGCAGTAATTAGCATGAGTCTTATGAGTTAAGATAGGTAAGCATGTAATTTAGTCATGATCGACCAGTAATTTTCTGTTTGTCTGCAGTAATTTTCTGTATCTTTTTCTTTCATGCACACCCTCATAATCGAGCACATAGATGTTTCTGGGGCGCTTTATTTTACAGAAACCTCGAATGTCAAATGGTGTTTGTTTTAATGCTCCTACACAATGTCTACCCACTAGTATAGTCTTAACATCTCTTACTGTTTATACTAGACATAAGATTAAGATTACCTTCATGATACTCTGAAACTTCATCTTGTGTGCCCTCGTTTTGTGTCTGTTCCTGCAAGAAGCGTACAGTTTCATCATATATGCCATGATTTGTGTATATGTAAATATGTGGCCACAATTATAGTAGATTTGTTTGTCTGTGCCAGAAATTCTTTATTTTCTGGAGGGCTTTTATCCACTGTAAAATGTCTCTAGTTTTATTGTTGTTGTGTGACATTTTTCTTTCTGGTGCATATGATCTATCCGTCATGTAAAAGTGTACGCTAAATAAATAGTATATTTAGCTTTGCTGATTCATGTATTCATACACATTGTTAGAAATCTAAACCATTGAGAGAATTGGTCATGATACATAGGATATTTTTTATTTTTCGTCCTTGAGATGTTAATACATGTATCTCCATGGAAAGTGGTTATTCATGCATCACTAGGTGATCTTAATGTTCCTTTTGAGAAAAAAGTCAAAGGGAGGGAACTGGAATGGAAAACTTTTTATTTTAGAAGCTTTTCTTCTTTTTTCCTTCACTTTGTTCCGCTTCCTCAAAACATGGTTTAAAACTGAAGGATATTCAATATCTCTGGGAATTTCAGGCATAACTCTGTACTTGTGACTGCTATCTTTCTCCCACACGCTAATTGCATATAAGGTTTTAGCTATGTACATAGAACGTTTTTGATCCATGAAGCTTTTGCATTTTTTTATTTAAATTCTATATCTGAGCATTAGTAAAATGTTTCTGCAACTCAGTAGATCAATTAAAAGTTTTAGTCATTGAGATTCAAAGGAAAAGATACCTCTTCATGCAAGTCACTCAAAAATTCTGTTACGAATGGTACTTCTTCCAGCACCCCGCCTCTTAGTCCCTTCAAAAACTGAGTAGAATAGAAGAACCGGCGTTAACATATAAATATATGAACTTGTTGACATGAAATTTATCTGAGCATTAACATATATAAACATATATGAGCATTAGTGAAATGTTTCTGCAACTCAGTAGTTCAATTAAAAGTTTTAGTGGTTGAGATTCAAAGGAAAAGTTTGTGTGCATGCGTGCGCGTGTGTGTATGGTTTGCTATCTATCTGTTTTTTATGTATGAACGAATCTGACAAACCTGAGTAAAATTGTGGATGACTGTCTTCCCATCTTCATTAAATGGTTTTGCCATCTGCTTGAAATGATGATGATCGATTCGTATAAGCTGGGAGAGTCTTCTACTTCTCACTGTATAAGGTTGCGGGATATTAAACATCACACCTATTTCTCCTACCATGCTTCCAGGTTCTAGTTTGAACAAAAACTGAAAAAACTCTTATGAGCTTAGTAATGCATTGAGAGTTGTCATTAGCTAAGAAACACAAATACTTCATTTAAATAATTGTTTTTTATTTCTCTACTTTTAGCCCATTAAATGCGGTGTTGATATGTACACTTGTATCTCTTACTGCGTAGCTCAATTCTGATTAAGATGTTCTCTGGACACGGTTCAAAGAGTTTAACTTAGTTTGGTGTGTTTGTTTCAGCAGGTTGCTTGGAAGTGCTTGAAGATAATGAACATGACTTTCCCAAATGACTCCTACATCAGGTTGAAGCAATATGTTTTGTTGTTATGCAGGTCTATGAGATACCTTCCAATCTCCATAGTTCAGAACTTATAGTAAATGAATTACTTTAGTAATAGTTTCTTTTGTCTAAGTGGGGTGAATTTTGGCTGTCTTTATTTCTACTCAAATCATTTCTTTCTAAGCTACTATGTGTCTGCAGTTATTGCTTATTTTACTCTAGACACGCCACTTAGTATTTTACACTCCAAAGTCAATTGTTTGGAGGAATTCCCTCTTACCTTTTCAGATCCATTCTTGTATATCAACACATCCTGCAGTTAGAAATAGTTCAGTCTGAAGCTAACTAGTTAAGGTAGGTACTCGAGTTGGGTTTGAATAAGATAGATATATTTTACCACCGATCCGGATACCAAAATGTAGAAATATGCTGGCATCTCATTTTGCAAGATAATGTCAACCTTTGATGGGTAGTATTCTGCTTTCATATCTGATACCTGTCACAGTTTCTGACGTTAATTAGACAGAGCATTTTGAAACAATTTTGACACTCATTGAGTCATTGTGAAATAAGGAAGTATTCTATAATTAAGAGAGAAAAAGTATTACCATCTGGCATATAAAATCACCTGAGACTCCTTTAAATAAGTATGTTTTTTCAATCACGTTGTGGAAAAGATGCTGAGCAATACCGGCCCTAATTGCTTTAGGTAGGTCCTGTAGCACTTCTTCTTGCTGTAACTCTGCTGTCTTAAACTTCAGTTGTGTATGTGCCAACATTTGTTCCTTCAATCCTACTGGGAGTCCATTTTTGCTCGCATATTGTAATACTTTATTGAAGGCATCCCTCTGTGAAGCACATAAGCATTTCTTATTGCATAAATTTTAGCCTATTCTTAATCCTTCTATCATATTGATGTTAGTGTAATCAAATGCAATGCTTAGTCAAGTATTAAACTACCATGAAAATCTTCATAAAATTTACCATGGCAAATGTTCGGCCAGAGCTATGAACCACCAAATTTGTCATGTTTCCGATAATATATGCAGTGAGGCCGATGTTAAACAACATATAAAATATATTGAAAACCTTCTCTGTTGTATTTTCTGCATGCAAATCTCCATAGCCAACGGTAGTAAGGGTTACAATAGACCAGTACATGGAGTAAGTGTATCCTGACCCCACACTCCTTTGCTTAAAATCCTTTACCTCCTTCCCAATCCATGTATTTTCGGGTGATTCGTGATGGTAAGCCAACCAAAAATACACGCAGCCTGTGAAATGCACTGCAAATAGCGTAACCTATGGTAAACCAACAAAAGTGAAGCACCAAATTAAGAACCTAAATTGGACAATTTGATGGTTATAACTTATTTGAGTCTTTACTCATAGAGAAACTTTAGTGATTTACTTACGCATAAAAGTTTACAGACTCTTGTTAACGAGTAGCTAACCCTTATGTCTTTCTCTAGCCTGTAAAACATAGCAGTTTTTATTAAACTTTGTAGAAAATTCTGCACATAAAAAAGCCATTCCTTTTTAGCTTAACCTATGAAAATGATGACCAAGGTTTTAAATGCAAAAACTTGTGATTTCGATCGGTACATATGATGCGATAATGATTAGGGTTGTTGCACCGTGAATTAATCACAATTTATTTTTCATCATAAAAACATCATAATAAGTGAATAATGATATTGATATCGACACATTCTCATATCATTTTGTCGCGGTCGTTTTTAGTAACGATGGACTGTTTTTCAAAACCTTGGTGATGGCACTTTTGATACGCTTAATGATTGTTTTTTCATACATCTTTTATATTCAGGACATTACATGCCCTGTTACCCATTATTCACATTTATATGGGTGTAGTATAGAACTCATTATTACCTCCATATAATTGTTCACCATAAAAAACCCTCTAATTAGCTTAGCCTATAAAAGTGATGACACTTGGTACGAAATAATCATGAATTATGTATTTTTTGAGATTATAATTTAAAGATGGAATCATGAAAAGAGACCTAGGTGTTTGGTAGTTGACTTTTACTTAAAGCATTTATAATTTTGTTTTATTTATTGGAGCAAGGGGTACATGAATTAAGAATTTAATATCTTAGTTTTATCTTATGAGATCAGAATGACAACCTGACATCCAAAATAAAAAGGAATGACAACTTTTAATGTTACAAATTTCATTTTCAAATATTTCATAAATAGTTTTGAAAATTAAGTTGCAGAATAAGAATGAACTGTTCAAGGTGTGTATCATATTTAATGGCATTTTTATTTTCATTTGTTTCTTTTCTTTAGCTCTGATTCCACTTTTGTACACAAACAAAACTTAGGTACATATGTTATTCAAATGTTGTTTAACTTAACATGATTTTTCCTAATTTATAATTTTCTCAAATATTGTAAACTAAGAATTATATAGAAAAACATCTAAGAAAATGCATTTGTCCTTATAAATATACCTTGAGAAGAGCTCGCTAACACGTCTCAATCGCCAAAGTCTAAGCATGTTAAGAAAACCAAAGACTTCTCCTCTATCGTGTGATTTGCCGGCTATAAGTTGATACATCTGTTGAAATGGCATAGTTGAAGCTAGATCCATGGGAAAACATAAATGCTTGACGTACCTATTGTGAAAAAGCATGAGAAAATTGAGTAACATAATCAACAGAACCTCGTTTGAAGACGTGCAAGACGGATTACCACGCTAACTCTTAGGTTTCAAGCTTATATGATGTAGAAAGTATGGCATATACTCACCTGATAGCAATCTCCTTATGGTCATCAACAAGGAAATAAGTTGATGTATCCAAGTAGGCCACGAAGAAAGTTAGGATTATGTCAAATGCAAAGAAAGCATCGACAAAGAGATCAGTTATTAACAGCGACCCGATTGACATCTCTCTGAAAGCCAACTCAAATGGAGATGCCCATGCAGAATACACCACCAATGCCACTAGGAACGTTTGCCAGAATCTATATCACAATTCACAAACTATTATAAATAAATTTGAATAACTAATAGTTGTGTTAAGGTAAATTAAATACTTTTGTACCGATATCTTCGATCATAGGGCGCAATGGTATATTTCTTAAGGATGAAGTAACCTTCATCAGGATTAGTGCCAAATGCTGGTAAGAGACTGTTAGAAATTGAGGCCAACTTTCTTACTTCACCACTTGAGCGTCTTCTAACCAGAGATGGAATCATTTATTTTTTTGAGAGAGAGAGAGAGTTAACACTTGTTGTTTATGAATGACAACACTTCTTGTTATCAACGTTGTTAAACCAGTAGAATACATATAGTCATAAGCTAAGGCTTTGTCTACTTATTTAATTATCAATAACTCTTTGTCTAGTTACTATATAATTATCCATAATTCAACTTCTTGCATGAATTTCCTTGAATATTTAAGTTATTATAATATAAATAAGTCAACTTTTTATTGCGTGAATCTCTATGAGTATTAGAAAAGTATGGGAAGGGTGGCAAGGGGTTTTGATATTTAAATATATTAGTAGTAATAATGGTATAATTATGCATAGAGATAACTTAGTATATATTGGAGGACCCCTCAGAGAAAATATTGGAGAGGACGTGGGTGATTCTAGAGTTTGTCAAATTAATGAGCGACGTATTTTCAAATACAATAAGATAGAGAATGCATTTAAATATCAACTAATCTATTTTCTTATCAATAATTGAAACAATTTGCCATAGATTAATCCATAACAATATCAAAGACTACATAATATCTTTTTATCAACTAATGGACTAGAATTTTTTGTCCTCAAGGCCCATTTTAATCTCTTAATTTTTAAAATGTTTAAATAAATTCCTTAAGTATTAAAAACGACGTTACTCCATTCTATTAAGACCGTCAATCAAAGTCAAAAAAGGGACCAATTGACATACACATGGTGCTTAGGTGGATTAAAAACAATAAAATAAACAAAAACAAATAAAAGAAATTAAATTTCTCTTTCTTTGCAGAAGTAAGGCGTCACCCTCCCCTTCCTAAACTTTTAGGAACCATGTCTGTGACTTCATCTCTTTGAACAAACCAACTCTTCTTTCAGATTTCCATCACCATGAACAAACCAATCTCAACTTCATTCAGTGAATACAAAGTCTTCTGCTCCATTGATACAAAGACGTTATTTCATTGAGGCATTTTAGCAAACACTTTGTAAGCATTTCGTTAGGTTGCAACTTCGAAACAAAACGCAGATCCCGAAACTGTGGAGGGCTCACCCGCTGTTGGGGACCCAATTCAACAAGATTGAATGTTTCCAAAGGATACCTGTATCGAAATTCAAAGTTGAAGATAAGAGGTAGGCAAAAGTTATATTCAATCATGGCTTCTCGAAGATTACTGGTGGAACTGATGTTGCTTGTTTGACACCAGCAACCCAAGTTGTTGAATCATTTTGGAAGGAAAATGGACAATACACATTATGTTCTTCTCTATATGAACTTTGTTTCACTTCCCATATTTTCTGTTTCCTTCTGCAACCGAATGCTAGAAATAAAACACAGGAAAGTGATAATATCACATAGAGCGTTAAAGGTTGGAATAGTATAACAAGTATAACTAAGTGAGGAAATAATTATAATTAGATAGAAATGTGTAGACTTAAATATATAAGTGAGAGAACTCATTCACTCTTATTTTAAAATTTTTTGATGAATAAGTGGTGTATCTCTCATAAAGATATTTATTCTTATATTATGTATCGATATTTCTAATAACTCCTCTAACATCTTCATTCCCAAATTAATTTTACAAACAAAAAGCCCTAAGATTCAAACATGAACGCATGAAAACAGTGGCTGGAAAATAAATAAAGAAGAAAAAAAAAGAAGAATAGCCATGGAAAGGACTCGAGTTAAGAGACCAATAATTTATAATTCCAATCAAATCTTTTAAATTTTGAACCAATAGATTTACAATTCCAATTATTAAATATAGGTGGATTGATTAAATTTTAAAGAATGTTGCTCAAAATAAGACTAAGACTACTAATGATGAAATACAACTACAAATGAAAAAATAACTACAAATTAGTGTAAAAACATTATTTGAATTAAAATTTATTAAAATATTTGTCCACATTGTAAGGCAGGAGGTTGACTATAAAGATGTAGTTCAAAGAAAAGAGTGAAGAGAGAAAATGTAACAAACTCTTAAAGTGGAGAATTTTTTTGTTATGATACTTCTTTTTAAAATTCAATTATAAGAGTTGTTTAAATACACCAAAAATAACCTGTCACGTAGGTAAAATTAAAATGTTAATAAAACTCAGAAGCGTTGAATAAGGTTCTGAAGCATGTAGCTTCTAAACAACACAACTTATTGAACTACAACTTTTGAACATGAATTACTTCTAACTTCATCCCTTAATTCATATTCAGTTAACTAAAATTCTACAACACCAATTGTATCCCTCAAATTGACAAAGTGTTCATTATTTGTAGTTTTAGTCAACACAACTGCAAGTTGTTTCTGAGTGCTACAGTACACAATTTCTAGTCGAAAATGATACATCGTATAAATGTGCTTGCTCATTCCATGCAACACTGAATTCTTGACAAGATTTATAGTTGATTTGTTGTCTATCATCAGCTTAACAAGCTTGCTCACTTTAATCTTCAGATCGTGCAATAAATTTATAAGTCAAACAACATGACACATAAATAAAACACATGCAATGTACCTAGCTTCACAAGTTGACAAGGAAACCACATGTTGCTTCTAGGAGCACCAAGAAATGGGACTTCTCAGATACTTGAAAAAATATCCAAAAATACTTCTTCTGTCAATTCTGTTTCCACACTAATCAGAGTCTGAATATCATATCAACTGATTTAACACAAAAAAAACAACACTCCATACCTCATAGTTCCCTTAACGTTCCTCAGAATCCTAATAACAGCTTGGTAGACCACTTTGGTTTATTCATAAACCTACATACCATTTCAATTGCATAGAAAATATCAGGTCTGGTGTTACAAAGATATCTCAATGAGTCAACCAACTGTTTAAAAGTTATAGCATGTACACCATCACCCTCGACATCAAAATTCAGTTGTAGGTGTGATTGCAGTCTAGCAATTTTTTTAAACTCAAATCTCTTCAGAAGTTCAAGTTCATACTTGAGCTGATGCAAAATTATACCCTTATGAGAGTATAAAAAGTTACATCCCTAGAAAATATGCCATATTTCTTAGATCAATCATCTCAAACTCATTCACTAACACCTTCTTGAACTTGACTATCTCTTCTGGACAACTTCCTCTTAGCAATATGTCCTCAACATAGAGACACACCATAATCATATTGCTTTCATAAGTATGATGAACATAAACGCCATACTCCATCTCATAATTTTTGAATCCATGTAGCTTGGAAAATGAATCAATTTTCATATTCCAAGCTATAAGAGCTTGTTTTAGTCAATAGAAGGCTCTATGAAATTTGTATACCATCTGTTCCTGATTCTTTTTCATAAATCCAGGAGGTTGTGATACATAAAATTTCTCTTGTAATGGACCATTCAGAAATGCGGATTTCAGATCCAAATGTATCAAAGGCCAATTTCTATTAGCAACTATAGCAATCACCAATTTGTCCGTTTCATGTCTAGCTACAAACGCAAACACTTCAAAGTAATCTAATCCATATTTCTGTAGAAATCCTCTAGCTACTAACATTGCTTTGTGTTTGCAAGTTGATCCATCTGGCTTCAGCTCTATCTTGAAAACCAATATGACATTGATGACTTTCTTATCCTTTGGAAGCTCAGTCAACTCATAAGTCTTGTTTCTTTCAATAGTCTCAAGTTATTCTTTCATAGAATTCAACCATACTTTCTTCTTGAGAGATTATTCAGTACTAACTGGTTCAGAGTCTACTAACATGGCACAATGAATGACTTCTCCTTCAGAGTTTATCTCAATATCTCGCAACATGTCAAACTCTGAGAATCTTCTTGGTATTTCTATGATTCTCTATGGCCTATGAACTTGTTCAGAATCTTCTTTAGATTTTGAAACAATATCAGTTGTTGGACTACCTTCATAAGTTGGACCACCTTCAAAAGTTCCACCTTCAGAAGTTGGATTACTACCAGAGTCTGGATCATCATCAGAATTTAGATCAGAATCAGATTGACCTTCAGAGTCTCCTTCTGATTATGACTCATCTTTATATTCTCCTTCAGAATCAGACTCGACTTCAGCTTCAGAGTCATTTTCTGACTCTGACTCATCTTCAGAGGCAAAATTATCTTCAGATTTAGAAGTATCTTTAGAGGTTACCTCAGGTGTTAACGTTGCACTAGAGTTGGATAGATACTTGTTCCAATCTCATGCTTCTGATTCTTTCACAATGATGTCTCTGCTGACTTCAACCTTTATAGGTGATTGGACAGTTGAGCTTATAAGCACTTGTACTATGGTACCCAATCAACAACATTACTTTGCTTCTATTATCCATCTTCTTTCTAGTAGTACCTGGAACATGATTGTAACAAACTGAATAAAATACACTGAAATTACTCACACTTTTCTTATCTCCAGTCCACTTCTCAAAAGGAACAGTTTCCTTCAGCTTCTTCGTTGGACACCTAGTGAGCATATATGTTGCAGTAGTAACAACTTTACCCCAAAAGGTGTGAGGGGTCTTTTTCTCTTTCAGCATCTCCCTGTCATATCAAGCAAAGTTCTATTTTTTCTTTCAGCAAGACCATTGTGTTGAGAAGTGTATGGATAAGTAACATCATGCTCAATTCCATTCTCCTTACAGAACTTCTTGAACTCTGTAGAGTTGTACTCACCGTCACCGTCAGTTCTGAGGACTTTCAACTTCTGACCACTATGTTTTTCAGCCTTCACTTTGAACTTCTGAAACTTAGTATACACTTCATACTTAAACTTGATGAGTGCTACCCATGTTATCCTTGTGAACTCATCCACAAACGACACAAAGTACATGTTTCCTCCAAGTGAAGGTACTTCAAATGGTCCACATACATTAGAATTCACTACTCCTAAAGCATGCTTTGCTCTTGGGGCCACTTCTGATGCAAATGGAAATCTAGGTTGCTTGCCTTTCATGTATATCTCACATGACTTCTTAGGCTTCTCAATCTTCGGAATTCCATATACAAGCTTCTTAAAACTTAGATGCCATAAGCTTCTAAAGTTC